ATTCATATTCTAATGGCTTTAAAAAGAAAGCTTTTTCGTGTCTACCCGTTGCCCCCACCACTGTCACAAAATCTTTATCTTCTGGCATCAACTTCTGATTTAACACTGAATATGTAGCTCCTGTATCTACTAAAAATTCTACTTCCCGACCCAATTTCCCTAGCTTAATTTTAACCAGTGGATCTGCTAGGGTAGAGTCCCCCGGTCTCCTTCATTGTTCTGTAGCCATTAATAGCTTATTTTCCTCTTGCCGCTTCGGGCATTCCCTTTTCCAGTGTCCTATCTCTTTACAATAGGCACACTGTTCAGCCCGCAAGGGGAGTCGAATTACCTTCCCCCCCTTCTCCTGCCTCGAAAAGATTCTTCCTGCTTTCGCAGGGCTGCCACAGTGGCTGCTGCAATCGTCTCACCTAACTTTTGCCTTTCATTCCCCTCACGATTTCTAAACACTCTCCAGGCTTCTTCTACTAATCTTTCCAAATCCCTTACGTCTGGTTCTTTCATTTTCTGAAGTTTTCGTCTAATATCTTCCGCCGATTGACCCAAAAATAGAGATACTAATTGAAGTCTACCCCCCCTCAGAGGAAGGGTCTATAGTGGTAAACTTCTGCATTGCTGCCCTCAGCCTTTCAAGAAATTCGGATGGGGTTTCTTTTAGACCTTGTTGGAAGCATATTCTCAATTCCCAATTCATCCAGATTTTAGTATTTACTTAGCCGTTCATAATTTTAGGGATGATTAGGGTCTCAGTGGGGTCGGTCAGGGGAATGCAGTTGTCCACAGTTCCCTGAGCGGTCCCATCGGTAATCTGAGCTCGCACATGAACTCAGGTTGTTTTAAGAGTTAACTGTTTTTCTGTTTCCATAACAACTCTCTCTCGGACCCATCATGATCCATTTGCCCCAAAGGGCTAACACCCATGATTTTAAGATCTCTGCCTAGAGCAGAGGCAGAACTATTAACATTCCTACATCCTCTTTCCCTGCTCATTCAACTTCAAACACCTTTAACACTTTCAACAACCCTTTTAACACTTCCTTTATCTTTCTCCAGCCTGTACTTCTCTAATGCCAACATCAAAGGCTCAGTCAGGGGCCAACTTAATTCTGTACACCTTTTCCCACCAAGATGCTGAAACAACATCAGTATACAACATTTCATCCTATTCTCCTTCTCAAAACCAACATTAACTGTAGCAAAACATTAGAGTTTAAAGTTCCATTTAGGGGCCACTTTTCTCCACATTCCAGCTTATAAAGCGGCCACCATTGATTACAATATTTTATCAATGTTTTCCTGTTCACACTTTCACCGGCAGATCCTCCAATATCCTTCCAGTGATTCAAAACACATGTGTTCCAGTGACTCTAATGCACTTTTCTTAGGAATTTCACTGCTTACTCGCCCCCCCATTTTCCAGTTTACACTTTCAGAATACACGTGTTACTTACAAAAGCGTATCACAAAAACGTATCACTCACAAAATTACAGGCACGCAATATCTTTCAGTAGCGATGTCACAAAGCTACTATTACCAGCAATATTGCTAAAATCACAATAACAATAGTCAGAGTCAAATTCTACATGCGATAAGTCAGAAAACCGAACTGTGTAACACCATAACGATATCTTTCTTATAACAATGCCACGAACCTACTATTACCACCAGAAAAATAGCCAAAATCACAGTAACAATAACCAGAGTTAAATACCATACTCCATGAGTCAGAAAACCGAAATAAACAACACAATTCCAGATGGACCTTAAAGCGAGCTCTTTCCTTAAGGTCCCCAAATATACTTATGGTGCTTACCACAAAGTATATACCAAACACTGCCTCGCAGAAGATCACCTTCTGACTTACAGACAGTTCCAGATACAGATGGACCTCAAGGTCCCCAGATATACTTGTGGTACTAACCACAAAGTATATACCAAATACTGTCCTGCAGAAGTCACCTTCCGACTTACTGGACAGTCCCAGATGACCGGTCTACCAGAAAACCAAACCAGAATAAAGAATATACTCACTTACAATGATGGGGTCCTTGTCTGCCTCCGCAGTGATCCGGTGAGTCGAGGAGTCCCTCCGGGAAATCCCGGGGGTACCCTAGGGAGTCCTGTCCCCAGCGGGTCCTGCGGTCCGGCAGAGAGGTAGTCCCATCTGGGGTGCCAGATTGATTCAAAGATCGAAGCCGAAATTCCTTTAAGTGGTATATTCTTTATTGCAGCGCTGGATGCACGGGGCATCTCTCCACCTATCGTGCATACCCAAAGCGGAGAGCAGTCTTGAATTTATACAATCAATCTATCAATATTCTACAAGCACCTATACATATGCATTACCTATCCCCGCCTTCCCTCGCTTCTCATGCTAATTAGCCTTTTGGCACCTTGCGCCTGCGTAGAGCCTCCCAAGAATTGTGGGCAGGGGTCTTTGGGACGTGGGCAGGGGTCTTTGGGAGGAAGACCCCGAGTCTTCCTCACAGTGTACTTTTCACCTTTGGTCAGGAATCTGCTGAATTGGCACGTTTCTTAATTGCGAGAGCTGGTTGTTGCCAATTCTTCCGTTTGTTGTATCTTTATAATGAATTCCAATGTCCAATTTTGAGATTTATTGAGTTTCTCTGTCCGTCTGCCGCTTCCTTATCATGAGTTCCAGTGTCTTGTTTCGAGATATACAGTCCATGTCTGGGGATTGTCCTTGCCTCCCCAATACCTCCCCAATACCTCCTTAATCACCCCAAAGGGGCCCACTGCTGCCCAGAGCCAAGCCATGAGCAATACAGTCCGTGCCTCTGTGAGAGCACATCCACGAAAACAAACAAACAAAGAAACAAACAAAAACCTGCCGCTCAACAGCAGCTGGGAGAGCGAGAAACCCCCCCGCAGACACCTAAGTCAGTGCAGAAGGAGGGGGAGGAGGCGCTCCAGGCGCTGGAGCCGAAGCCCCCCTGCGGCCGCTGGAGAGGCCCCTGGTGGAGCAGGCTGTTCCCCCCTCCCCCATGCTTGGGAAACTGACCAAACACCACAGCAAATATGCAAATATACCAAAACTTCTAGACTGATACTTAGATAATGCCTACATCCCCTTTCCCTGCTCATTCAATTTCAAACAGCTCTGTTAAATATTACATGCCACACCTTTAACACCTTCAGCAACCCTTTTAACACTTCCTTTATCTTTCTCCAGCCTGTACTTTTCTAATACCAGCACCAAAGGCTCAGTCAGAGTCCAACTTAATTCCATACCTTTTCCCTCCAAGATACTGAAACAACATATCAATCAATATACCATATTTCATCCAATTTTTCTTCTTTCCACAAAAACAACATTGACTGTAATATGGTGTTATACATCCTAGGGGGCTTTTCCTCGGGATTTCTTTGCTTTGAACTTTTCCTATTGTAATCTACAGTGGTTAATATTCCACTCTTTTCCTAGAAGCTCTTTACTAGTCAATCCCAATCCCTCCAAAATCCACAATATATAGATACACAAATAAAATCAGACCACTGTAAATTAACTGCCTGTTGACAATTACACTGAGGACATTTAAACCTGATGAGCCGATGATATGCCTGGGCAAATTTTGTTCCCTTAGACATACACCTCAATGGCAGTCCTTATATTTACATATTTACATATTAACATATGTATAAAAGAACACTTTAACAAAAAATGCCCGGGCTTTTATATATACAATATACAATGTACAGTTATTATTCCAGTTAGAATTATTCCTCAGCAGCTGCAAACATTATGCCAGTTGCCATTAAAGATCGCTTACCCTCCTCCTGTCCTTTTCTTAAAATCTCGGACATCCCCGGAGTTAATGGGGATGGCCACATATTCCATTCCTGGCTGGGGTCCCCCCATCTCTATTTCTCGTAGAGGATATGGTAAATGGGGCTGCGTCAGGCTGGCGGGCGGTCACCAGTGGGGTCCCTCAAGGCTCCATTTTAGGGCTGGTACTTTTCAATATTTTTATAAACGATCTGGATGTAGGAATATAAGGTATTTTGAGCAAGTTTGCTGATGACACCAAACTTGGAGGAGTTGTGGACTCGAATGAGGGTGGAAAGGCCTTGCAGAGGGATCTGGATAGGTTGGAGAGCTGGGCGATCACCAACCGCATGAAGTTCAATAAGAGCAAGTGCCGGGTCCTGCACCTGGGACGGGGAAACCCTGGCTGCACGTACAGACTGGGCGATGAGACGCTGGAGAGCAGCCTAGAAGAGAGGGATATGGGGGTCGTGGTAGACAGCAAGTTGAATATGAGCCAGCAGTGTGCCCTGGCAGCCAGGAGGGCCAACCGTGTCCTGGGGTGCATCAAGCACGGCATCGCTAGTAGGTCAAGGGAGGTGATTGTCCCGCTCTACTCTGCGCTGGTGCGGCCTCACCTCGAGTACTGTGTGCAGTTCTGGGCACCACAGTATAAAAAGGACATGAAACTGTTGGAGAGTGTCCAGAGGAGGGCTATGAAGGTGGTGAAAGGCCTGGAGGGGAAGACGTACGAGGAACGGCTGAGGGCACTGGGCCTGTTCAGCCTGGAGAAGAGGAGGCTGAGGGGAGACCTCATCGCAGTCTACAACTTCCTCGTAAGGGGGTGTCGAGAGGCAGGAGACCTATTCTCCATTAACACCAGTGACAGGACACGCGGGAACGGGGTTAAGCTGAGGCAGGAGAAATTTAGGCTTGACATCAGGAGGGGGTTCTTCACAGAGAGGGTGGTTGCACACTGGAACAGGCTCCCCAGGGAAGTGGTCACTGCACCGAACCTGTCTGAATTTAAGAAGAGATTGGACTGTGCACTTAGTCACATGGTCTGAACTTTTGGGTAGACCTGTGCGGTGTCAAGAGTTGGACTTGATGATCCTTAAGGGTCCCTTCCAACTCAGGATATTCTATGATTCTATGATTCTATGATATAATCCCTCCCTTAAAGCAGATTTCTGATTTCTTGCCCTGCTTCTGGTTACCGGCCCCTGTGTTTCATGATCCAATTCTGATTCTCCTGGATTAGCTAATTCGGGGAGTCCATTAAGGACGGGAGCCATTGGTGCGGGCGGTGGAATATAGGGTGGGGGCGGTGTTGGGACTTCCAAGTCCTTTCTCTTTTTATCCCGCCCTCCTTTTTCTTTTAGAGGATATAGATGCATCCTCGTATCTGAATTTATCCAGAGGTGCGCATACTCACTTTCTTCCAGACTAAAGGGTTCCTTTGAGTTTACATAAATATTTAGGCCTGACAAACCCAATCTTCAAAAGACCCAAATACAGGCCAGTAAAGGTGGTCTCCTCGAATCTGTTTACCACCCCAAACTTCAACACAATTATGTATCATTTTTACTTTATTCCTTCCCTGCCTAAAAGGGGAATCCTGCCAATTTTTCATCATTAATGCCGGGGTAACCTAACATCAGACGTTACCCCACCCATGGGACCAGAAGGCTTACTCTTCTTCTGTCCCATCTTCCGGAACACCTTCACACACACACACACGGATCGCTTCCCCCTTTTCGTGGCCCAGTCCCTCGCGGGATGTGGGAACCGCACTACCAAGGGGTCCACACTCGCATCGTCCGCAATTGGATGTCTCGTTTGTTGTGTTCCGGGATACCCAACCCCAACCGAACGGATCACCGGCCTATACTTACCCATCCCGTGGATCTTCGTTCGGGCTTTGTGCACAAAGGTTGCCTGGAGTTTACCGGTTTTATTTGCTTGTGTCTAATTTTGGGTTCGTCGGTGAAGGATTTGAATGAAAGTAGTCCTAGCGAAGGCCGCTGAAATGAGCGGGGCGCCCCCTCCGAAGGTCTTTCAATCAGATTGCCTTCATCCGAGTCACGGCACCAAATTGTTATAAATTAGACCACACAATTTTCTGGTCTATTGAAATTATTTTATTAATCAAGTAAGCAGACACAAACAAAACAGCGCTGGGCGGCTGGGGAGTCTCCGCTCCACCACGGCATGCAACTTCCCCTTTCCAGTGTCGCTGTTTTATAGCATTGAAGTTCCGGCTTGTCGAGACCTGTCGACTTGTCGAGACCTGTCGCCTTGTCGAATTGTCGAGACTTGTTCTGAGGCTGCGCAGTCTGTTGTTGGGGGTCGTTATTCTTCCTCCAGTGATCATGCGTTGTGCTTGTGTTCAGGTGGGGGCAAAACAAGATGTCTTGCGGTGGATGGGTGGTATCTTACAGAATCTTTGTTTTAACAGGGATGTTTACCCAACCCCCCTTCCCCATTTGTCCCCATGTTACAATGCTGTCAGTTGTGAAACCTTATCTCCTCAGTAGATTCTTTAAATTCTCAAGGACAATGAACAAACCCCTACTAATTTATCACAGCGAGTGCATTGAGGTGCTCAGAGCGGCTGCAGAGTGCAAGGGTGCCCAGGCCCACAGGATCTGTTCAGGGGGGTCACAGAAGGCATGTTTTGGGGGTACATGCAGGCAAGGGGCCCCACACCTGGGGGTGAGGGACAAAAGGGCCCCGTGGGTGATTGGCTTTGCATGGCCACAGCTCTGCTCGGCACCACGTGCCACCCTTGGTCCCCCAGACCCCGCTGGGCACATCCCTGCCCCACGGCCAGGCGTGCAGCCCCTACCCCACCCCCCTCAGGAACCCCGTCCGCTTCAGGGATCATTGCCCCTATGGCACGGCGCTGGCGGGAGTGTGGCTGTGCAAGGGGGCCAGCAGCAGTGGGTTTGGGATGGCTGTGGGGTTCAGCTGGCTCTGGGTGCCCCCTCCACCGGGTGCTGGGGGGGGGCTGCGGGCTGGCGGGAGAACAGGACACCTGAGGAGCGAGAGAAACAGGGTTAGGGACTTGTACCCCTGTGGGCTCCAACCCCCATCACCCTTAGTGCCTCCCCTGGCCTCGTGCTTCCCCTGGCCCCGTGCCACTGCCCATCCCCTTGTCCCCTTACACAGCCCCCTGGGGTGGCTCAGGACCCTGTAGCTGGTGGCCTTGTGTGCTGCTGAGCCCTGACCTTTCTGGCTCATTAAATATTTATGTGCTGGAGTGTTGAGGGATTTCTTGAAACAGCAAAAATCCCATGGCTTGCTGTAGCTGAGCAAACCAAGCTACCAGGGCAACTATGAGAAGTTCCCACGACAGTGTTCCCACATCACCCAATTGAGGAATTCAGAAAAATATTGTTACCAGTAGCTGGCTTCAAGGACAAGGTCTATGTGACTGCTAATCACAAGGGGGTTGTTTTCTTGCAGGTGGGGTTGTTTTCTTGCAGTTGTTTGTCTGAGTGCTTTTGACCAATAATCTTGTGTGAAACACTGTCCGCCCCTGTTAAGTTCTCTATAAAAGTTAGGCTATTCGGGTAATAAAATGGAGCATGATCTGACCACATTGGTGTCTGTCGTGCTTTCGGCCGTGCTTCCTGCACTGGAGGAAAAGCTGTCCTCTTTAATTGGGGAGGTCTCAGCAGGGCAGGCGGGCAGCTGGGGGGCACGGGGTGACCTGCTTGGCCAGTGCAGGGGGCTGCATCATAGCATGGGTTGGGGGTCCCCGTGCCCCATAGCAGGGTACGGGGCAGCTTTGGGAGCATCCTCTCTCGGGCACCTGCACCCTCTCTTGGCTCCTCTTGCCAGTCCCTGAGGTAGCCTCTGCTCCACCAAAGCACTCCGACACCGTCCTCTCTGCACCCTGCTGGCGGGGGGACCCCAAACCCCAAATTCCCATCTGCTGAGCCTAGTTGTGTAGACAACTCCATTTATTTCTATTGACATGTTGATACTGCTAATGCTGTTGGTGGACAGGTTCAATGCAGTCTCCTGTCTGTCATCTGGGGGAAGGAAATACCAATATGAGCATCAAAAGAAACAGAAGTGACCTGCCAGAGGGAGCAGAGGGTCCCCATCCTCCCCGGGCAGCCCCGTTCTCCCCCAAGGGTGCCAGGGGCTGGGGTGGCCAGGCTGGAGGCTGTAGGGCACTACCTTGGTTGGAGACCTTGATGTTCATGGGGAACTGGGAAGCCATGGCCAGGAGGTTGTGCTGCAGAGCCTGCTGCATCAGCTGCTGCTGCTCCTCTGCTGTCAGGGCCACCTTCTTCTCTGGGGGCTCCCCTGTGTCCACCTTCTCCCGCAGCTGTTCCAGCACCGCCACCTGCGAGGCTGCCACTGCCTGAGCTGCTGCAAGGCTGGCCAGCCCCACCGGGATGGCAATGCGCCCAGGCACCGCCGGCACCATGCCATCCTCTGCAACGACGGGGAGAGCTCAGTGAGACCCCCAATCTCTTCACCCCATCTCTCCATCCCCGCACCATGGGGCAGGGTGGGCATTTTGGTTGGAAAGCTGCCTGGCGGAGAAGGACCTGGGAGTATTGGTTGATAGTCGGCTGAATATGAGCCAGCAGTGTGCTCAGGTGGCCAAGAAGGCCAACAGCATCCTGGCTTGTATCAGAAGCAGTGTGGCCAGCAGGGCTAGGGAAGTGATTGTCCCCCTGTACTCGGCTCTGGTGAGGCCGCACCTCGAGTACTGTGTTCAGTTTTGGGCCCCTCGCTACAAGAAGGACATGGAGGTGCTCGAACGAGTCCAGAGAAGGGTGACGAAGCTGGTGAGGGGTCTGGAGAACAAGTCCTATGAGGAGCATCTGAGGGAGCTGGGCTTGTTCAGCCTGGAGAAAAGGAGGCTCAGGGGCAACCTTATTGCTCTTTACAGGTACCTTAAAGGAGGCTGTAGCGAGGTGGGGGTTGGTCTATTCTCCCATGTGCCTGGTGACAGGGCAAGGGGGAATGGGCTAAAGTTGCGCCAGGGGTGTTTTAGGTTGGATGTTAGGAAGAACTTCTTTACCGAAAGGGTTGTGAGGCATCGGAATGGGCTGCCCAGGGAAGTGGTGGAGTCACCATCCCTGGAGGTCTTTAAAAGACGTTTAGATGTAGAGCTTAGGGATATGGTTTAGTGGAGGACTGTTAGTGTTAGGTCAGAGGTTGGACTCGATGATCTTGAGGTCTCTTCCAACCTATAAATTCTGTGATTCTGTGATTCTGTGAAGAAGGGGCTTCCACCTCCATGTTGGGGCTTGGGCCCAGCTCCAGAGCTGTCTGTTCCCTCTCACCCCAGAGGGGACCAAATGAATAAAATCATTCCTTTTTCCCATCTGGGAGAAGGAGTATACCTGGTGGAGTTGCCTGAGGTGGGGCAGCTGTGGTCCTCACCCACCTTTCTTCACGCCATGCACTTGGCCCATCTGGCCACAACTGTGCGTGGAGATGCTGAGGGCCGGCAGAGGCATTTTGGGGGAGCCCAGCAGGGTTGGAGTGCCGGTGGATGAGTAGTTGAAGAACACAGTGCCGAAAGTCTGCCTCCATCCCTCCCGCTGTTTGCTGTCAATGGCAGCCTGCAGCTCCCCAGGCAAGCTGAGCGCCCGCTTCTCGCATTCATAGGGGTACAGGTACTTCATGTATCTGTGTGGGGAAGAGAGACAGGATCAGAGCCAGCACTGGGCACATCCCAGCCAGCCCCAAGATGAGCGGGAACTGGGCTGGGGATGGTGCCCAGGCACAGGGGAAGCCCTCTGTCCCCCTTGGGGACACCCTGGGTGCTCACTGCGTGCGGAGGGTGAAGGCAGCGCTGGTGATGGAGGTAGGTAGGTTGAGGCCCTTGGTGATCTCCCTCCAGATCTTCTTGTTGATGACTTCCACCAGGCTGCCCTTGTCCATCACCAGCCGGTACAGAGTGTAGAGGTCCAGCACTTGCTTAGCCATGATGGGGATGCGGTTCACGGATGTCCCTTCGGGCTGGGCGAGTCAGGAGAGAGAAGGGTGAGGGGTGAGCCCACAGGGACCCTCACCCTCTGAGGACGTGGCCCCCACCTTGTCCCCATGGCCACCACAGGCACTGGCTGCCCTCAGAAGCTGTCAGGGCTCTCTACTGGGTGGTGGGAGCACGGTGGCTCCTCCAAAGCCCTTTACAGATGCCTACAGCCCCTGTAACACTTGGAGCTCCCTATAAATCTCTCAGAGCATCCTAGCAGGTGGGGCATGGGCACCCTGGACCCCCAGCATCACCCCCCACACCGAGCCCCTGGTGCAGAGGGACCTGAGGTCCCCACACCCCATAGGGACACTCAACTCAGCAGGGCTCTGCAAGCCCAGAATGGATCAGCACAGTCCCCAAAGCCACCAGGTCTGGTTGTAGCCCATGCCCCACCTGCTAGGATGCTCAGCTACCGGTGTCCACTGACGCCTCTGGTCTCCCGTAGCAACTCGATCTCGGATGTTCCGCAATTACTTCAATTTCCCCGCGTTTTGCAGCTTCTGTCAGGTCTATTCTGTGTCTCTCAGAGCCGTCCGTGGCTCTGCAGCGTCTCTCAGGGCTCTCTCCGTCCAGCGGTAGTCCCTCCGTAGTGTCTCGGGCCTCCCAGCGCCGCTCCGGTCTCTCGGCGCCGCTCAGGTCTCTCGGCGCCGCTCAGGTCTCTCGGCGCCGCTCAGGTCTCTCGGCCTGTTCAGGTCTCAGCGAGTCCAGGTCTCGGCCTGTGCGGAACATCCGAGATCGAGTTGCTACGGGAGACCAGAGGCGTCAGTGGACACCGGTAGCTGACCCTCAGCGTGTGGCGAGTCCGCACATAGCAGAGGGGCGGACATCAGGACCCTGCAGCCTGTCTGACATAACCATGGAGGCAGCAGCAGCAGCGGCTGTGCTGCTTCACTCTGGCATTCTTTTTATAAGAGGTTTATCTTGCAATGCAAAAAAAGACTATTAGTCCCCAGATCGGTGTTATAACTATTGCTAATGACGACTTAGCTCTATTGCAGGGCAGGAGTGCAGAGACGCAGATCACACTGCCAAACGACCACCGGCAGGCTCTTTCACAAACCTAAGGTTGCAGCTGGCACTGCCTGCAGCCGTATAGCAGACGTTACACTCTCTTTCCTAATTAGTAATCATGTGTCTTATCCATTTGTGGTGAATGGCCAGTGACAAAAAGAAAAGGGGGGAGACAAAGACAGAAACGGTACAAGGAGAATGCCACTGACACTAACAGCATGGGTAATAGGAGTAGTATAAGTGACACAGGTGACGGTGCAGGGCGCTCTGCCTGTTGCTCGCCTTCGCCTGACTGTGCACTGCTGCCAACGGTGCTAGAGTAAAATGTGAAGACTGCTCAGATGGCAGTGATGAGAGTGCTTGTGTGAAGAAGATGTGTACTGAATCTGACTGTGTGCATAGATATCAATAAAGTGTGTAACCAGCAGAGAGACTGCAAGGACTGGGGTGATGAGCCCCTGAAGGAATGCAACAAAAATGAATGTGACTGTCCAGCTGGGTTTGAGTTTGTAGACAAGAGAAACTGTGGAGATATTGATGAATGTCAAAACCCTGGTATCTGTAGTCAAATATGTATCAACCTGAAAGGTGGCTACAAATGTGAATGTAGCCGTGGCTATCAGATGAATCCTGCTACAGGAACCTGGAAAGGGCCATACGGGTACAGAAATACAAATAACATCCGTGATTATAATGACACTGCTAAGCAGGGTTTAGGGGTTCATAACATGGAGACAAGGGGTAACAACTACAATTGTACAGCTTTGGCCTTACCTCCTGATGTTTTTCTGATTTGTGGGGATGGGGCCTGGCAAGGTATCGCTGCAAATGCTATCAGATGTCCATGTTACTTAGATAAACTCATTGTATTTGCTCCTAGCTTGTTACAGTTGCGTGAGATCACCAGACATAAATGGGCACTGCTTGCACCGGATAGCAATGATAATGTTGAATTGTGTGGGGTTGCAGCTAGAGCAGCATTGGCAATTTTAGTACTTGGAGTGGCATCTGCGGCCGCACGTAACAACTTAGAAAATTTGGTATGCTGGGCCAAGAAGCAAGCCTATGCCGTGACAGAGATACTTGAGGAGATGTTACCAGATCAAAATAGTCTGCGACATGCGCTCTTACAGGATCAAGCTGCTATTGACTTTTTGCTTTTGGCTCAAGGGCATGGGTGTGAGGGACTGTACCTTGTTTTACTTACTACTGAAACAGCTGTGAGAACCGCAGAAAGGGACCCATGCATCCAGAATAAAAGGACCAGTAACTACTGAAACTTGGAGGGTTGAGTCCGCTCCTGGGAAACTGAAACTCAAGCTAAGGAAGAACTAATATTCTGGCAACGAGGCTCTGCATGAATTAAGGATGCCAAATAAAGGGGACAAGCCTGAAGGGAGGAAAGGGAGAAGGCAAGACCAGGGCAGGACCCTCCTCTGCGGTGTGTATGGTCTACCGAGGGAAGCAACCCCTATGGGTATTGACTGCCGAGTGAGAGGGCCTCGACTGGACTTCTCCCACACTAAGGTCAGGTTGTCCTGAGAAAATAACATAAGACCCTTTTTTTTAACCTATATAAAATTGTGATTCGTTTTCCAGGAGCTGGATCACCCTGACAGGCCGAACGGTAACACAAGCCTGAATCAACCCTGAAGGTGTTTGCCTATTATGATCCAGCTACGTGGGCAGAAGACAGATCGTGGGACTATAGGACCCCAGTATATATACTTAATAGAATAATTAGGTTATTAGCTGTAATAGAAATAGTTATAAATGATAAGAACTGCTTTGTATCAAAATTGCCTAGCTTTGGATTATTTACTAGCACAAGAAGAAGAAGTCTGTGGAAAATTTAGCTTTAGTAATTGCTGTTTAAAGATTGATAAAAAGGGTGTTTCTTCCTAGTAGCTAATAGAATGTTATGTTCTGGTTTAGGATGAGAAGAATGTTAATAATATGCTGATGTTTTAATTGTTTTTAATTGTTACAGAGCAGTGCTTACATCAAGCCAAGGACCAAGCCAAATTCAGCTTCTCACTGTCCTGCCAGCAGGCAGGCTGGGAGGAGGGCCGGACTGCTCGGGGTTAGGTTGGGCATCGGACAGCAGGTGGTGAGCAATTGCATTGTGCATCACTTGTTTCGTACACATTATTACTAGTAGTACTATTATCATCATTATTGTTATTATTATTATTGTTATTATCTACTTGTTTTTATCTCAACTCACAGGCTTCACTTTCCCATTTCTCTCTCCCATCCCAGAGAAGGAGAGGGGGGACGTGAGCGAGCAAACACAAACCTGGAAGGATATGGAATGGGATTTATTTTCATTTATTTTCATTTATTTTTATTTTCATGGCTGCCTGGTGGACCATGGGTTAAAAGAGTGTTATTTTTATTGTTATGTGGTGTAAAGATGTTATTGTCTATACCTTGTATGATACCTTGTCTTACATTATTAATACACTGGGTGATAAATAGTACATTGGTAATAACTTCATTAAAAAAGGAAGGGAATATGTCAATTATGATGCTTAAGGATTGGACCCTCCAAGAACAAACTGATGAAATCCAATTATTAATAACAGAAGAGACACGAATTGGGGATATTAAAAAGAAGATAAGGGATTGTGAGGAATGTTTTAACAATTCCAATTCGTGTCCATAAATTCGTGTCCATAAAGAATAATTCTGTTTGAATCCTGTCTGCCTCTGGGCCCTGCACTGGCAATTTAATTCTTGAACCACAGATGCAGTGTGCCCCAGTCTCCCCCTCATTCCAGTCAATTTATCACGTCTTCAGAAAACACTCCTTAAATTTATGAACCTGTTTGCTTTTGTTATTCCTGACTTCTAGTTCTAACAGCTACAGCCTTTTTTCCTGTCTTCTTCGAGATTAACTTAACACTGCTATAGATGTGTCTGTGAATGGCTGGGGAAGAATGTTTTAATTACTCGTGAAGCGTCAAATAAGAAAGCTGTTTGTGTTTGATGTCTGGGAGTTTCAGAACAACTGATAACAACTAGTGACTGTTATGGGATACTATGAGGATCCTTGGTATCTGGCCAGGGGGGCCAAGAGATTAAGAGGAAGAAAAAAGAAGCTGAAGGACGGTTGGGAGACAAGACCTGTGGAGAGTGTACAGAGAGTGTTCCATAAACTTGGAATAGTGCCAAGTAAGTACAAAGGGTGAGAGGAAGACTACGAGCCTTCAGCATGAAAGACCCCTAGAGACCCCCAGAGGAGACTGATGCGCATGCTCCAGTAGGAGGAACTGGACCCCGGAAGCTAATTATAATAATCTACTTTTTTAGAAGTAGTAATGAATATGTATTAGTCTAGGTGCATAAAAATCAGCTGCTTGATGTAACTGGTGTGCGTCCTGGTGGAGCGGAGACTCCCGGTGCACCCAGCGCTGTTTGCTTACCTCTATTCCTTTATATTCTTCTAATAAATCCTATTTTTTTATTTAATCCTAATTTGAATCCTGAGCCATTTATAACAAACCCTCTCCCCACTTCCCCAGCACCCCAAATAGCCCTGCAGTGCCTGGGGACAGTGCTTCGGGCAGGCAGTGCGGCAGCCACCAGGGGCTGCAGCAGGGCAGAGGAGGGATGAACATCCTGTCCCGTCCCATCCCACCCCATATTTATTTCCTGCCGGGCTGTGGGTGGTATCGGAAAGCCATCCATTTTGCCAGGGGAGGCTGTCACGGCCACGCTTCGCCACTCAAATGAATCCGTCACTCACCGCCATCCTCCAGCATCCCTAATTTATGGCCCGATATCGACTCAGCTTCTTCGCATAAGCCTGAAAAATGAGCTCTTTTTATTCCTTTACTGAGTTCATTTAACTTGTGTGTGTCTGTGTTGTTTGCCGGATCGGGAAGGGGGAGAGGAGTTTTTCCTCCTGGGAAAAAAGCAGAGATATCGATGTGATATCTGCTGGTAATCCCTCACCGGCCCTGCCCGGCACCGGCCCCATCGCCCTGATTCAGGGTTTCCCCATCACCCCAGAAGCTTCAAACGAGTTTGTGGGTCCCGGAGCCCGATCAATGCCCTCCAAACTTCTTTTCTCCCCCCTCCCTGGCCGCAGTGGCTAATGAATGCTGCTCGCCATTAATTCCGGGGTGGACAGTGCCCGTCCCGCTGACAAAGGGACTTGTCTGTGTCCCCACAGAGTGATGGCCCCGGCAGTGGCCGGGGTGCACAGCACAAAAGCCCAGGGAGGTGGTGGGGCCATTGTGCCGCTGCAATTAGCTCTGGATTGATTAACGGTGCCACGTTATCGACAGGGCCCTCGGCTCAGTGTGGGGAGGGTGCAAATGGGGGGGGATGCGCAGCCCCTTCCTAGGGCTCGCTGTCCACCCCCCACCCACTGCCACCCTAGGGACACAGCCCCCTGCCTGCATGCCCCTGGGTGCCCCAGAAGCACCCACACCGGCTCTCATCAGCACCCAGATCTGAGGGTGCCCCCTTGTCTGTCCCCAGAGCTGGGGCACCCAGCACCACCTGCTGTACCCCCCCAGGGTCACCCCTGAGATGTCACCCAGCCTGAGGAGGTGACAGGAGTGGGACTGGAGAGCATTGGGCACTCTCCCTTCTCCCCACACTGACAGATAGCTCGCTTAATTAGCCCCGGCCCCAACGGTGAGGGAGTTAATCAGTTCTGGAGAGAGAGATAATGAAGCCGCCAAGCATCCCATGAATCTTGCAGCCCTGATGGATTCTGAGGGTGGAGACGAGGGTCAGGCAGCGGTGGTGCTCCCCTGGCTCCCCCCGGCCTGCCCCACATCTGGGGGGCACCCACAGCCCACGGGGCAGCACCCAGACCCCATCCACCTCCAGCCACACTCTGGTGTAAGCCCCATGGCCATGGCAGCCCCCGCATGGCATGGGTTTGTGGGGTCTCAGCCCCTCAAGATCTGGGTGCCGCTGCCCCACAGGTGGGCACCCACCCTCACCAACACTCCCAACACCACCGACACTCGGGACCAACCACCCCTTCCCATCTGCTCTCGCCCCACACACAGCCAGCTCCAGCCCCCCTTCCCAAGCCTTCCCCCATTAATTAGCTTGGCATTAACCTCTGCCTGGGGTTTACTGGCTGTCAAGCGGTGTGTTCAATAATCCACACACCAGAAAAAGGCTCTAATTAATACAGCCAACCGCGCGCCCGTGCTCGGCAACTTATAATTGTCCCGGGCCCAGATAGGGAGGGCAAATGTTAAAGCATTTATCAAGTCCCCAGGAGCTGGCTTGTCCCTGTGCTGATAGCAAAGATTTTCGATGGGGTTGGGTGGGCTGGCGGGCTCTTAACCCCTGGGCCCCCATGCTGCTCCTACAGCCCCATGGCAGTGCTCAGGTATGGCTCTGAGCACCCACAAATGGGCATCACTAACAGGGATTGCTAATGGGCAATGCTAATGGGCCTTGTTAATTGGCATCACCATCAGGCATTGCTATAAGGCACTGCAAGTGGGCATCCTCGCTGGGTGACACTGCTGGGCATCGCTAATGGGCAACATTAGTGGGCATCCCTGTCAGGCATCACTGCTGGGCATTGCTAATGGGCGTAATTAATGGGTTTTGCTAACAGACATCACCAAAGGGCTCTGCTGCAACCCTACTGCGCCTCTCCAGTGGGCACTGCTGGTGGGCATCAGCAAGGGGCATTACCACCAGCCCAAATTCGGGGGTCCCAGCCCCTCCAGCTGGCAGCACCCTGCTATAGGGGGTGTCCACAACGGGGCTGAATCTGTGGGGTGTGATCATGTGCATGTGTATAAGTGCGGGACGTGGTGTCTGGGTCTAATGGTGCACACCAGGAGATGAGGGGCATGGAGGCAGAGCTGAGCCCTGCGTGTGTGACAGTGGCCAGCGTGGCCCCGTCTGCACTCAGCCAGCCTTGTGGGGTGCAGCTCACAGAGACGAGCCCCAAACAAGCGACTGGGGGGCATCCACCCAAGCCACCCACCTTTACCTCTCTTCTGCATGAAGCTGAAGAGGTCATCCAGGAACTCCTTGCGTTTTGGGTCCTCGTCCAGTTCGTAGAGCTGGGGCAGGAGAGGGGTCAACGCTGCTGGCATGCACCAGGCAGGGGGATGGCACAGGACAGTGCTGGGGATGGGGACCCTGCTGGCTCCAGTACCTGGCATCATCCCTTTTACCCCCCAGCTCTCCCCATGGGATTCCCCGACACATCCCCAGGCTCGGGTCTGCCGTGGACTCCCCACCTGCCCTGCACCCTGGCGGCCTCCGTGCCTCATTTTCCCTGCCCCGGACGCGTGGCAGCATGGAACCCCATGGCAGGGCAGGATGCGGCCGTGCCATGCAGCAGCCAGGGCTTGCCAGATTCCAGCACAACTCCTCAGTGACCATGACAAATTGGAGACCGTCAGATCGATGGCCTAGCAGTAAAAGTCAGAGCACGTGTGTCGTGGTTTAACCCGGCCGGCAGCTAAACACCACGCAGCCGTTCGCTCACCCTCCCCCCTCCCTCTCTGGGACGGGGGAGAGAAATGGAAAGTGAAGCCCGTGAGTTGAGATAAAGACAGTTTAATAAGACAGGTAAATAATAATAATAATAATAATAATAATAATACAATGATAACAATAGTACTACCACTAATAATATGTACAAACAAGTGATGCACAATGCAATTGCTCACCACTCGCTGACCGATGCCCAGCCTCACCCCGAGCAGTCCGGCCCCCTCCCCCCGGCTAGCCACCCCTATATATTGTTTAGCATGACGTCAGATGGTATGGAATACCCCTTTGGCTAGTTTGGGTCACCTGTCCTGGGTCTGTCCCCTCCCAGCTCTTACTGCACCCCCAGCCTGCCCGTTGGCAGGACAGAGCAAAAGGCTGAGATGTCCTTGGCTTACTATAAGCACTGCTCTGCAACAATTAAAACATCGGGGTGTTATCAGCACTCTTCTCATCCTAAGCCAAAACATAGCATTCTACCAGCTACTAGGAAGAAAATTAATTCTGTTCTAACTGAAACCAGGACAACGTGAAAGAAAAATTAGCACCAATTGAAGGCGCTATAGACACCAAGTCCTCCCAGTGAGCCTGGCAAGAATTTAAAGCCACTGAAAAGAAACAAAACTCAGCAGTTCAGAATGGATTTCCAAAACATATACAAAGAAATGCAAGCTGGAAAACAAAGTCAGGCACAAAATAGTCCTTTAAAAAAAACAGTTGTGCTGGGAAAGGCTGTTAAAAAACAATAGACAGGGAGCCTCCCCCCCCTCAGCACAGTACATAATTCACAGGCAGATAAAGGGAGCTGTGAGGATGTGGGGTGCGGGGACACAGGGACATGAGGACATGGGGACATGGAGATGGGGATGTGAGGGCGTGGGGATGTGGGATGTGGCTCTGCTCCGACAGAGACCCTGTGGTTCCCATCACCAGGCAGACACTTCTGCACAGCCCTCAGCACCATTTGTGGGTGCTCCATGGTGCTCTGCTGCTATTCTGTCCTCCCCTTGTGGGTGCCACCTGCACACCCCCTGCAAGCAGGAGCTCCCTGTCCCTGTCACCACCACCCCCATCACCTGTTCGAGCTGATCCATCAGTGCCGGCAATGGGCTCACGCTGGGAGCAGCACCCTGGGAGCCCACATTTCCCTGCCTGTCCACCAGCCCAGACCATTCCTCCTGGTTTGGGAAATCAAGCCAAGACCTTCCCAGGGGTCTCCCAGCAGGGGTGTCCGGCCGGGCCCCCAGCTGCCCACGTGTATTTCTGCTCCCGCAAAGCCCAGGCACGCTCCCTGCCACTGTGCATGCGCAGCCCCCAAACAGGTGTGACCTCCAAGCACCGGGACCTCTTCTCCACTGTATATCAACCTGTAACCTTTTATCTGTGGGGCAGCGAGATGCAAAAACACATTACATCAAGCAAGGAGCAAAGGTCGGCTTTTAAGAGGAGATGAGAGTTGAGCGAGGAACAGGGGATGTGCTGGCATGGCCCTTGGGAACGCTGATGATGCACCAGGTGTCCTGTGAGGTTTGGGGATGCTCAGGCTGGAGAGGATGTGGGTTTGGGGGATTCCTGCTGCTGGGGGGTTGGCTGGGTCCCAGCCAAAGCAGAGTATAGGATCCAAGCATTGCAGGTGCACAGAGGTGGCACAGGGGTGGCCTGCAGGCAAGGAGGGTCCCCCCAGACACCCCCAGCCCCAAGGAAGGTGCCATCTCCATCACCTGCCACTCACCCTCCTCCTCCTCTTGCAAGGTGGGCACTGTGATCCCCTCCAGCCTCCTTTGGGGACTGGCCATCGGAGCGGCAGAGCACAACCCCACAGGGTCACGCACAATCCAGTACAGGTGCACACAACTTCGTGCGGGGATTCTCAACCCCACACAGATGTGCACAACCCCATGCAGGCATACACAATCCTGAACGAGCATGCAAAACCCTTTATGGGCTTGCACAACCCCACGCAAGGGTGTGCACAACTCAACATGAGCGCACACAACCACCCAAGGGAATGCACCCTGTATGTCCCCCCAGAAGCACACTCAGACTTGCAAAGGCCCAGGCAACCCTGCACAAGCATGCACAACCCTGCATCAGTGCACGTGCAACCCACACAAGTGTGCACAGCCCCATACCCATTCGCAAAAATCTTACAAGCACACATCCCCACACGGGCACATACAACCTGGTACAGATGTGAATGGCCTCATACAGGCACACACAACTCCAAATGCACACGTACAACCCCAAAGGGGCATGCAGAACCCCAAATAGGCACACACAACCTTTCATGGGTGCACTTACTCCCTATTAATATGCATAACCCTGCACGGGCACGCACAGCCCTGCATGGGCGCACAACCCGAGGTGGGGACCCAGACTCTGGAGGGGAACACAGACCCCCGGAGGGGCCACCCCGTCCCAGACAGGGTCACTCCCCAGCACGCCTTTGCTGTGTACCTCAAGCAGGGGGCAGCTGTGCAACATGAGCAGCAGCTCCTGCTTGCGGTGACCTATGAGCAAGGACCCTTTTAATCGTGTTTGTATTGATATAATTAGTAACTCATTTAACGCCATTGATGTAACTATATTCCTCTATAAACACAAGTATTAAATTGTCAAGCCTGGGGACTGATACCCCACTGGTGTGCAGCTCTGCTCCGCTCTACCGACCTCAGGGACCCCATCTGTAGGGCTTGCCCCCCCAAAAGCCACGGCAATCCCAGTGCCAGCCCAGCGCAGCTGCTCGGGGCATCCTTGCCCCAGACCCACCATGAGTCCAGCTCTGGCCATGCCCGGGCACCCTGCTCTCTGCCAGCATCCCATTGCCATGGCGACATCTTTATTCCTTAAGGGATGGGGATAACGGGGCTGGCTGGGCAGGTTAAAAGGCAGCGGGTCGAACATGGTTTATTAAAGGGATGTGAATAGACCTCGTGCCTCCCCTCACCACAATTAAATAACATTGTTAGCACACTTGCTAACCCTGGAGGTGCCTCTCCTGGCTCTGGGGGGGCTTGCAGGGATGGAGCCAGGGTCTCCAGCCCCCCATGGCCCAGCTGATCCCACAGAGAAGGGGCACGGTGAGGTACAAAGCCCCTCTAGACTGCCCCGAGGAGCCCCCCCACAGCACTTCCAAGGAAAGCTATCTCAGTGGGACTCCTACAGCCCCCACTCGGCTGCCACCTCCCGCCAGCAGCCAGGGCTCAGATCAGCAACCAGGATTTAATCCACTTAATACAGGCTGCATTGATCCCAAACCCTGCTCAGCTCCTCCCTGCCTCACATCTTCCCCAACCCTGAGCCACTTAATATGCACCGCATTGATTAGCCGCCCTGCTAATTTTTCTATCTGGCTGCTGCTCACACAGGGAGCCCAGGAGATGCAGTTCCCCACATCCCCCCAGCACGCTGCATGTGGCCGAACACTGATGGGGTCCTTTGGGGACCTCAGGGTCTCTTGGGGACCTCACACCCCTCTGGAGCATCACTGTACCTCTGAGCCGGGGGTCCCTGGTACATGGCCAGGTGCATGCACATCAAGTGCCTTTGTGTCCCAATGGGATTGGGGAGCCACTGGTGCCACCGTTTACCCACAGCCTTGCCGCCACCCAGCCTGAATACACCACAAGAGTGAGTATAGGAGCTGGGGGCTCTGGGCCCCCCTCCTGCACGCAGCGCCTGTCTCCTCACACCCTTGATTAGATTTTACACCTTCTCCTCAGAGCCCACATGCAGAGCCCCAGGGAGCTGCAGTCAGGGAGCTGGGGCTGAGGTGGCCACCGAGGCTCCCAGCACCCCCAGACTGCAACGGGGCTGGGACTGGCACCCCCTGGGCACCTCGGGCTGGGGCAAAGGGTGTGGAGGGGGTCAGCCACAAACCCTGCCCAAAACACCCATGAGTCCATATGGCTCCATATGTGCACGCACAGGGGTACTTATACATGCCAGGTGTGGTGGTTTTACTGTGCTGGGCAGCTAAACCCCACAACCACTCTCTCACTCCCCCTCCTTTAGATGAGGAGGGGGAGAAGTAAAGCAAAGAACAACTCACGGGTTGAGATAAGGATAATTTAATTAAAGGGAAATAATAATAATAATTAAATAAAGATTATTATGAACTAAACAATTTAACTAAAGGGAAAGAAAAAGGGGAAGGGGAAAAGGGAGGGGGAAAGGGAAAAAATAAAAAGAAGGGAGGAAAACAAACAAATAAAACAAATGAAGGCTATGTGGAAGTGCAGAGGAAAGAAAATACTCTCTACTTCCCACAAATGAGTGATGATTGACCACGTCCTTGAAGCAGGACCTCAACGCACGTAGCCGGTGTTCAAGAGGAGGACCGATGTTTTCACAACGAGAGCCCACCCCTCCCCTCTTCTTCCTGTTTCCACCTTTTATTGCTGAGTGTGACATCATATGGTGTGGAATATCCCTTTGGTTGGTTTAGGTCAGCTGCCCTGGTGATGGTTCTCTCCTCACTTTTTGCCCACCCCCTAGGAGGGTTAGAGAGAGGCCCAATGCTGTGCCAGCACTGCTCAGCAGTAGACACAACACTGGTGTGATA